GTTGGGGATGTGTGTCTCAGAGGAGCTCATAGGCCATCTTCAGTTCATACTTACAAGACTTTCATCTTAGATAATGGCCGTCACAGCTTTCTGAGTCCATGCTATAGTCAAATCAAGGTTAAAGAGAAGTTGGACGTTAATCCACAATGGCAACAACCTTTAGAAACCACATCTGAGGACATTCTGATAGTGCCTGATGGTGAAAGTGTTGGTCATTCAGTTTTCTCCTACACTGCAAATGATCATAAGATTGCTCCATCTGTGGAAGACACTAGGTTTCTTCAGATCATGGACAAAGAGTTTTTTCAAGACAGCTGCAATAGTTGGGTTGCTCCGCTACCCTTTCGTGAGCCCAGACAAAGTCTACCCAACAACAAAGACTATGCATTCAAACGTCTTCTCGCGCTCTGACACACTCTGAACAAACGAACACAGATGAAAGCGCACTTCCTGGATTTTATGGACAACTTGTTAAAAAATGAGCATGCAGAAATTGCACCACCTCTTCAGCAAGGTCAGGAAGTGTGGTACTTGCCGCTGTTTGGGGTGTACCACCCTAAAAAACCTGGCAAAATTCGAGTTGTCTTCGATTCAAGTGCGCCATATGAGGGAGTTTCACTGAACAATGTACTTCTCACAGGCCCTGATTTGAATAACAGCCTGCTAGGGGTCCTGATGAGATTCCGTAAAGAGCCTGTGGCTATTACTGCTGACATACAGCACATGTTCCATTGTTTTCTGGTTAGGGAGGATCATAGGGATTATCTTAGGTTCCTGTGGTACAGAAACAATGACCTTGATGGCGAAATTGTGGATCACAGAATGCGTGTGCATGTTTTCGGGAATAGCCCATCACCAGCAGTGGCTATCTATGGCCTACGGAGAGCAGCCAAAGCACATGAAGAGAGATTTGGCAGTGACACCAGAAAGCTAGTGGAGAAGGAGTTCTATGTTGATGACATGCTGAAATCATGCGCTACACAGGCAGAGGCGATCGACCTTCTCAAACGTACACAAGAAATGCTTGCAGTGTCCAACCTTAGACTGCACAAGATTATCTCTAACTGTCCAAATGTGATTGAAGCCTTTCCTTTGGAAGATCGTGCTGAGGGCATTAAAGATCTGCAGCTTTTCTCTAATGGCCTTCCCATCCTACGTAGTCTTGGTGTGTCCTGGAATGTTGCAACAGACTCTTTCATGTTTCATGTTTCGGATGATGACAAGCCTTTCACTCGGAGAGGAGTCCTATCTACCGTGAATGGCTTGTATGACCCTCTTGGATTCCTTGCTCCTGTCACCATACAAGGAAGGTTACTGTTGAGGGAACTTACCAAACAAGGTGAGGGCTGGGATTCCCCTTTGCCAGAGGACATGGAGGCAGAGTGGAAAAAATGGAAAAAATCTCTTCAAGATTTGAAAGAACTGCAAATACCACGTGTTTGTATACCCATTCCTCTGTACGATGTCCAGTGTAAAGAACTTTGTGTTTTTGCTGATGCTTCTGTCAAAGCCATAGCTGCTGTAGGATACCTGAAGGTGACAGATCAACATGGTCACACAGCTGTTAACTTCTTATTTGGGAAATCCAAATTAGCACCACAGCCAGACATTACTGTCCCAAGACTGGAATTGTGTGCTGCTGTATTAGCAGTGGAAATTGCAGAGTTGATTGTGGAAGAGATGGACATGACCTTTGATCATATCTGGTATTATACTGACAGCAAGGTAGTACTAGGCTACATTTGTAATCAAACACGGAGGTTCTATGTATACGTGAACAACAGGATTCAACGTATACATAAATCCAGTTTGCCTGCACAATGGCGATATGTTCCCACAGAGCTTAACCCAGCAGACCACGGGTCCAGATCTGTACCTGCAGCATCGCTAGGTGCCAGTTCATGGCTTACAGGCCCACACTTCTTGCATATTTCTCAGCTTCAGTCTGAATCACAACAGTCATTTGTGCTTGTGGATCCAACCTCAGATTCTGAAATACGCCCACATGTGGTTTCAAACCTTACTGAAGTTCCCAAGGTCACATGGAATTCTGAGAGATTTAGCAGATTCTCTAACTTTAACACTCTCATCAGAGCAATAGCACGTTTGATTCACATTGCCAGCTCTTTCTCCAAAGGCTCGCAAGATGATAGTTGCAGAGGATGGCATGTCTGCTGCAAAGGTCCTTCTGAAGAAGAGCTGGAGAAGGCAAAAATTCTTGTGTTGAAGAATGCTCAAAAGGAGAGTTATCCAACAGAGATTAAAAGCATCACTGCATCTCACAACCTTCCTCATAAGAGTGTGTTGAGGAAACTATCTCCTGTCCTTGACAGCAATGGCTTACTTCGAGTAGGGGGTCGTATTGTGAGGTCAGGTCTGGAAACTTGTGAAGTTAACCCTATTATCATCCCGGGTACACATCATGTGGCAAAACTCATTGTGCGACATTATCATGAGTCTGTGAAACATCAGGGCAGACACTTTACAGAAGGTGCTGTCAGAGCTGCTGGATTTTGGCTTGTAGGAGGTAAGAAGTGCATACGCAGTTTGCTTTACAAGTGTGTAATCTGCAAGAAGTTGCGAGGGAAGACAGAGCATCAGCAGATGTCTGATTTGCCAGTGGAACGGTTGACAGTAGCTCCACCCTTTACCTATGTGGGTGTTGATGTTTTCGGACCATGGGAAGTGACAGCCCGTAAGACCAGAGGAGGTCAAGCTAATTCCAAGAGGTGGGCAGTTATGTTTTCATGTATGTGCTCAAGAGCTGTCCACATTGAAGTAATCGAAGCAATGAGCTCCAGTAGTTTCATCAATGCCTTAAGGAGATTTTTTGCAATCAGAGGGCCAGTTAAACAACTGCATTCAGATCGTGGTACAAATTTCGTTGGAGCTTCTCGTGAACTCAAAATGGATGATTGTTGTGTCAGCTCAGAGAATGTGCAGAAATATCTGAGATAACACAATTGCACCTGGATATTCAATCCACCTCATGCCTCTCATATGGGTGGTCACTGGGAGCGAATGATCGGGATTGCACGTCGAATTCTTGATTGCATGCTACTTAAAGACCAATCTTCCCGTCTCACACATGAGGTCTTGACGACGGTCATGGCGGAAGTTACTGCAGTGATGAATTCACAGCCTTTAATCCCAGTGTCCTCTGACCCAGAATTTCCCTTTATTCTCACCCCTGCAACTCTTTTGACACAAAAGACAGGTGCAACACCTCCACCACCTGGAGACTTTGGGAGTAATGAGTTGCTTAAGGAAGAATGGAAACAAGTACAAAGGTTAGCAGATGTCTTCTGGACAAGATGGAAAAAAGAATACCTCAGTACTTTGCAACACCGACGAAAGTGGCAAGACAAAAAAACTAATTTGAAAGAAGGGGATATTGTCTTGGTAAAGAACATTCAAGTCACCAGAAATGGGTGGCCAATGGCAATCGTTGTGAAAACATCACCAAGCAAAGATGGATTGGTGAGGAAAGTTGACGTTAAAGTGACTAAGGATGGCATTCAGAAAATCCTGTCACGTCCTGTCTCTGAACTTGTCCTTCTTCTGTCTCCCAATGATAAGTTATAAGTTGATTTGGGATTCTAAAAACCCCAGGCGGGGAGTGTGCAGGACTGAAATTATTTAGGGTTCTCAGGTTTATTATTTTGAAAATGTCTATTCTAGTGAGGACTTTAATTTTGAAAAGCAGTCACAGACAACCTCTTAGTTCAGGAAGCAGGAAGTACTAGTAGTACTGCAATAGTTCAGCAAAATGTGGTAGCTATGTGACATCTTTGAGCATCACCTTTCTCTGCATCTGTTAGACGCAATGTCTGTAAGTACACAGTGTTAAATTTATTGTGTAATACATTTGAGAAGGTTATTTGATATTAAGATGTATATTTTCTTAGTTTAATTATCCTTACGTTGTCAATCTGTAATTTTCCAATTTCATTTTTAGTGATTGTATCTTTTGTATATTTTTACAGTTTCACAGTTGAATCATAAACTTCAGAAACGACTTGTGGTGTCCAGCGAGGTTTTTGAGTCACTGTTTAACTTACTGGATAGTTAGATGCCAGAGAAATCTAATAAGGCCAGTACACAAAATATACATCCAACGTAAATTGCATGTATAGACTTTTTCTCAAAAATACCGATTGTGAGATGGTTGCATTTTGGCAAGAAAATACATTGAACAACCGCTCACATGTGGGACTGACAATGCACGTTAAACACGCTCACACGCAGTGATGGAGCTCGCAGAATTTACTGTGAAAGAAGAACCTGAATCACAAGCTGTTTGTGAGCACAGTTCGGTTCGCTCTGGATCCAGTCACAACAAATCTATACAGCAATTTAATTAGATCAAAGCCTTTGTCGTGCAATAAACAAACTAAGATTACATTTTTTGTTCAACTGACAAACACGATGATGCAAACTTTAGTGGTCTTTTATGTTCATTACCAAACTGGCGGACAGATCATGGCGGTTCAATGTAATTAAATCAGAAATAGAAATTTGATGTAACATAGAGAGCAACAAAGCAGGATAATTAATACATTTAAAATGGCCATTAATCACCTGTATGTGCGTCCTTAAATTTGTGCTTGAGGTCTTCTGTACGTCAGTGAACCGTTAGCCGCAAGATGCGTGAATAAACAACAGGTGGCGGTAATGGCAAAAAAAATAGTTTGTAATCTAACAAGAAGAAGAATATCCTTGCATCGCGCTGATTCGCGCAGGCTCAACAACACGCAATGTAGCTTTTGCTCGCGCTACACCGCTACTTGCTGCAAAAAGTAGTTAGCTACTGGAAAAGCTACACTGTTTAAAAAGCTACTGCCAAGCTACTGAAAAATGTAGTTAAGTTAGTAGCGTCGCTACTTGTAGTTAACTACTCCCCAACACTGGTATTCACACAAACTGTAAAGATATAGCAGCTCTGCACTCTCAATTTTATGAGGCAAAAACAGAAAACAAAATCAGTTGATAATACTCACCCTGACATGAGTTGTTGCGGCTCACAGGACTGTCTTTATTGGAGGAATTAAATCCACTCCAGCATGAACACATGTGACTCCCAATGATGTTAATACAATCTGAGTTTTGACCACAAACTGACACTGCATCTACACATTCATTGATGTCTGGGGAAAAAACAGCAGTATTGAATAAATGTTTAAATTTAAAGTTTCCAAACAACCAAACTTGTGAAGTGTCACTGAGTAAAACCATACTGGTCATGTTACTACAATTACAATCAGTACATTTGTGATCTAATGTGATTCTTACCTCTCTGGCAAAGCGGACCCTCTGAAGGGAGAGCTTGAATACATCCACAAGTGCCTCCCACAATCTCATCACACTCATGATAGGCCCTGCAGGTGTCATTGGGCCAAACATGACGCTCCTCACACTTGCACTCATATTGTGTTCCATTTAACCCACACACTGTAATAGAATAGGATTTATTGATCTGTGCTCAAACTGTCAATTTGTCCTAATACTGAACTCATCTTAGTATGTGACTTGATGAAACATTCAGCGCTCACCAGTAGTCATGTCAATATCTGTGATATTTATGCTGCTGCTCAGAGTCAAAGGTAGGCTGATATTTCTGACGAGATCCCGTAAGTAGTTCACCAGGAACAAGTCAAAGAATCTCACATCAATGTCAATCATGTACTTAGAAGGCAGTACTGCAAGAACAAACAGAAGCAGTTTGAGCCGATCAATTAGTACGATTATATTCTTATACTGACAAAAACATCGGTTCCACTTGAGTAAACTAATATATATATTCAGTAATTTCAAATTTGGAATCAAATATGAAATATTTGTATTTATTTAACAACTAAACTCCATACAATAAACCATGTCTTATACAGAGTTATTAGCAACAACAACAAAAAAAAAAAAAAAACAAGCATATAATCAGTCTGTTAATCCTGGTAGCAAAATGGAGCAAAATCAAAACAGGAAAAAAACAACAACAAAAAACAACAAATGAATTAAAGGGATACAACTGATGTTGTCGTAGAATGATGCCAGTGTCTCACCTTGACAGAACTGTCCATCCACTGGAAGGGCATTGATACATGTACATGATGAACCATTAGTGATGACATCACAGGCCTCGTACGAGTGACACGTGTCATTTGGCCAAACAAACAGACCCTCACATTTACACTGATACTGCGTTTGGTTCAATGAACACACTGAAAAGCAGAAGAAGAGTCCAAACATCAAATAATTTATGTCAGTATTCATGACGTATAAAGTTTAATCTTAGCTATTTAACATTACAAAGCAGAGACAGAGCTCGTACCAGTAGTTATGTTGATTTCTGTAATGTTAGTGCTGTCACTGATTATGTAGGGCAAATTAAAAGACATCAGAAGAGTCCTCAGCTGATCAGTGACGCTACTATCCACACTATTGATCTGAATTTCAATCAGATATTCAGTCAAAGGTAGAGTCACTGTAAAAAAAAAGAAAAAAAAAAAAGAAATCATGACAATGCCTTTTACCTACGAATACAATAATCAAAGTTCACAAAAGAAAATTATTAACAGACAATGATTTTTTCAGGCCAATAGGATTTCATGTAACATTTTTTTATTTTTTTATAACTTGATTATTAAGCAGCTTTTATCATGGCTGAAAACAGAAACGACAGAAACACACACCAAACCATATAATAGATTGAATTTATATTTGTCAAATTTACTTAGAATATAAATCAAATACATCATGAAATATATTTTCTACATGCTCACCATTACATGGATTACTGATGCTGATTGGTTGATTCATATTTGTTACAGTAAACCCACTCAAGCAGGAACAGTTGTAACTCCCAACTGAGTTGGTGCAACGAGAGTTTGGACCACAGAACTCTGATGTCTTTAAACATTCATGAACATCTATATTACAAAAACAAATGAAAAAGAAATTGTTGCTATAAAAAATGAAATATAAATGTCACTTTAATTAAAAAAAAATTCTAATGTTTTTGTAACTTTATAAAATGTCGTATGCAACAGTTGAAAAATAAAACGAATTGCTGTTCAACTGTTAATTAAACAACAGTGTTAAAAATGATTTTATTGCAAAAATGAAAATGTTAAAAAAAAAAAAAAAACTATACTAGATTATTTTCCAAAATTAGATTATAAAGAAATGATTTTACCTCTACATGTGTTATTGATGCTGATGGTGAGACTTGAGTTTGTTACAGTGAATCCATCCAAACATGAGCAATTGTAACTTCCTATTTCATTTGTGCAGTTGGAATCTGGACCACATACAGATGGACTGAAAAAACATTCATTTATATCTATGGGGGAAAAAACAAAAAAAACAAATGAAAAAAATAACAAAACTATATGTTTTACTTTATTAAATAAGGCAAAAGAGCTAAAGACATGAAAGACCTCTGGTATTTAAACAAAAGTATTCACATTATAATTCCAAGATTGGAAAAAAGAAAAATTAAGTATTTGTTTGGTGATGTTACAGCTCAAACAGGAACAGCTAAAACTCACACTAGTATTCACACAAACTGTAAAGATATAGCAGCTCTGCACTCTCAATTTTATGAGGCAAAATCAGTTGATAATACTCACCCTGACATGAGTTGTTGCGGCTCACAGGACTGTCTTTATTGGAGGAATTAAATCCACTCCAGCATGAACACATGTGACTCCCAATGATGTTAATACAATCTGAGTATTGACCACAAACTGACACTGCATCTACACATTCATTAATGTCTGGGGAAAAAACAGCAGTATTGAATAAATGTTTAAATTTAAAGTTTCCAAACAACCAAACTTGTGAAGTGTCACTGAGTAAAACCATACTGGTCATGTTACTACAATGACAATCTGTACATTTGTGATCTAATGTGATTCTTACCTCTCTGGCAAAGCGGACCCTCTGAAGGGAGAGTTTGAATACATCCACAAGTGCCTCCCACAATCTCATCACACTCATGATAGGCCCTGCAGGTGTCATTGGGCCAAACATGACGCTCCTCACACTTGCACTCATATTGTGTTCCATTTAACCCACACACTGTAATAGAATAGGATTTATTGATCTGTGCTCAAACTGTCAATTTGTCCTAATACTGAACTCATCTTTAGTATGTGACGTGATGAAACATTCAGCTCTCACCAGTAGTCATGTCAATATCTGTGATATTTATGCTGTTGCTCAGAGTCAAAGGTAGGCTGATATTTCTGACGAGATCCCGTAAGTAGTTCACCAGGAACAAGTCAAAGAAGCTCACATCAATGTCAATCATGTACTTAGAAGGCAGTACTGCAAGAACAAACAGAAGCAGGTTGAGCCGAACAATTAGTACGATTATATTCTTATACTGACAAAAACATAGGTTTTCTTACAATACTAATGACAATTTTTAATTAAAGTATATTACAAACTTTTTATTTAGACCCTGAAGAATCATATTAACTTGTATAAAAATGGCATTATATGACCCCTTTAAAGTAAAGGACAAGATGAAACAATTCACAGACAAAATTACAAATTAAAATCATAATTTTTACATAAATAACATGTATTAGTAGAGGTCAAAACCATGAATCAGACCTGCGCTTATATTATGGAGTTGCCCTTCTATGTCGCTGGAATAAAACTATAGAAGAAAATAACACAAAAATACATTTATTTTACATATCAAATTGTATCATTTAATCATGTGATCATGGCTCTGTACTCTGTTTATATTAATAAAATAAAAACGCAATGTTAAATATTTTAAATTTGCGTTTAATGTGTACAAAACATTTTATTAAGAATGCAAATGATTGAAAGTTCTGAAAATGACAGCAATCTGTTGGTTTTTATATTATATGAATTTTATTTAGTTATGTTTCTGCGGTAAATAAAATTTCCCCTACCTGGAAATCCATACTTGTTTTTTGGAAATCAGTTGTTTGCCCAACACATTCATGGGTCAGCAGGAAAGCCATGATTACTGCAAAGTACTTTAATATTTGTCCTGTATCTGAAGAAATTAGAAATGAAACCGTTAATAAACAGACACCATTAGCAGGAAAATAAAACACTTATTAGCCTGTAGTCCAGAAACTAAAGGTCTCGGAAAATAAAATTAAACAGAATTGTACAGTAGTGCATGACTTCTGTCTTATAAGATTGAATGCAAATATGCAAACTTAGCCAATCATTTTCAATGATCTGGCAAAGTGACTCAAAATGAGCCAAGAACTGGGAGATCCGCAAAACTTGTTTGTCTGTGACTGATGGCGCAAAAACTTTGTGTGAGCAGCCTACACCCATTGGACGAAACTAGTATGTTTGCATAGCATACTTCTTAAAATGTTAACACATTTTGTCCCATGTGATATCTGTATTGTCCATGTTTACTGTATATTATGTCACCACTCTGTTACACACATTTTTTGTTATACTAATTTTTAAAATACTACATAGATTTAGTTATTTTCACTTGCTTGCATATTTGAATGATCAGTAACTTAAAGCTGCATTCCGTAACTTTCCCAAATAAATTTGAGCAAGTACATAACCAGCCAGTGTTCAAAACTATCTGCTTTTCTTAGCTCGATTCAAAACGGTAAGCTTGTAATAATGTTTTTAATAGTGGTACCATTACGTCACATCTGTACACATAAAGAAGGAGTCTCGGCTAGTAGGCTATATTGCGTGTGAGGATGCTGGAGGTGGAGATTTATAGCCTTTTCTCACAGCACTTGATATAAACTTATCAGTTTGATGGGGAATCCAGAAAGGTTCAAACGACAATCACAATTGACAACTTGAGATTCACCCGTTGTAAAATGCAAAAGACTTCGGATTTCGGAGTGGCTACAGAAAAAAAGAGACTGCTACCGGGCCCATGCGAAAACAAGGATAAATATCGAAAGGGCATTAAATGTAGTCACGCAATGCTGATGTTGTAAACATGAACAATTTGAGAACAAAGTATAATTTGCACGGTTTGACGTGATATGATAAGCGATCGTTGGATTCAATCAGCGCGATTTACTGCAATCCTTTTTTTTCCCTTAGTTGGTCAGAACAAAAGTGAATGTTACTTACTTGTTCAGATTACATTTACCGGTGAAAATTCCTACGTTGGTCATACTTCACAAAAGTAGAATCTGTGATTACGAATGACAGTATCCACACGGTGAATGACAGCCGCACATTCTCCTCAAAACATTGCACAACCCACTCAAGGCACAACCCACTTAAAGTTGATAATTTCGCGAATAACTGCCTTAGCAGATTTCGAACAGAGAGGAAAAACTACGGACTGCAGCTTTAAATTTATATTTACGTATACTGAAGTGTAATGTTTTTAAATGACGTGCATATAAGTTTTGGTAATAACATAACATGTTTTGGTACAGTACATTCACCTAAAGGATTATTGGGAACACCATACTAAAACTGTGTTTGACCCCCTTTTGCCTTCAGAACTGCCTTAATTCTACGTGGCATTGATTCAACAAGGTGCTGAAAGCATTCTTTAGAAATGTTGGCCCATATTGATAGGATAGCATCTTGCATTCGTACAAGTGAGGTCGTATGAATTTGTACGAATTAGCCACCTCGTAAAATTAGTACGAATTGCCGTGAGATCGGGTTGGGTTTTCTGAAAAATTATAAATACTTTACTTCTTTATACAGTATTTAAGTATATATATTATTTTTTGAAATATTTCGGAGTGCAAGAGTATGACGGGTGATAACAGGTGTAAACAAAGCCAGAAAATATTTGTCATTACACACTCTCAGGAACAAAACGTATAGCTGTCACAGAGGCATACCCTTTCAAAATGTGGATCTTTTAGAAGAGTGTAGCAAAACTAAAACCTGTTAAAGGTTCAAGCGGTTTAATATACAAAATGCACCATAGCATTTTTGTGACAAAAGTAGTAACAGTAAATTAAAAATAAGTTTATTAGTTGTTTATTGTACCTTGACCAGCCATGCTTCTCTCTGATGTACATCAGTCAAAATAACTTCAACTTATTCTTCAGAACAAAAGGCAATCATATGGCTCATCCAGACACCTTACAGCTGTAAAATAGGAAATTCTGTCATATAAAATCAGATAATAATGATGAAACTGAACAATCAATGATCATTTCATGCTGTTTTTGTCACAAATCAACAAAAACCTACTGACTTTGACTATTGAATGGAATTTTTAAATAAATTTAAATATAGATTTAATAAAAATCATAAAACATCTGAAGCACTAAATGTTGTATCCATTAATGTTTACAACAAAAATGTACATTACTACAGCAAAGGTCAACTCTTGTGTGGAAGTGCATTGGCATCAGTCAGAAAATAAAATGGAATAATTGAATAATAAATTACAATGACACAAAGTAACTGAATGAATTATTATTAATCTATGTAAAATTCTTGCTCTTTTACATTTATAACCTACTCCTGCATGACAAGATCGAGGACGATTTAAAAAAAGTACAGCATTGAACAGCACATTTTAAAATCAAAGAATTTCTAACTACACTCAAAAAATGTTAAGGCTTTTTAAAAAACAGATTTACGAACTTCAACTGAATAGCAGAATTCCATCAAAATGAATTGAATAATCCTTACATATTATTCATATTATGAATTAAGAATTTTAAATTAGTTAAATAAAACTAGAGCTTAATAAAACATTTTGTATAAATCTTAATGGAACAAGGGAATGGACTATTTCAGTTTATGTGATTTGTATTCATAAATAAAAAAATAAATTAAAATACGTCTACATTTATGAATATGAATCACATAAACTGAAATAGTCCATTCCCTTGTTCCATTAATGTACAAAAGGACCGGATGCCCTTAAATGTCCTGGACGATTTCGACCAATCACAGCGCACAAGGTTGCTATAGTGGCATTCGTGCTGAGGCGAACTGTGAGGGAGAGAGAAGATGCATCATAAATGTTAGTGAAAATGCTCCATAGTTTCAGTATAGTTAATCTGTAATGTTCGACGATTATTCAGCTGGTATACATATACATTGAGTCGTTGTGTGCGTATATGCCAAGTAAGTTCATATTTCCATGTTTGTTCCGTTGGTATTCAGAAACTGTTAGTCTATGTTTATCAGCGCGAGCGGTAGCCGATTAGCATAGAACTGCCTGTATTACTTCCTATTCAGTATCTTTTTGGAGTTTCTGTATGTTACTTTATGTTTATGTATTAGACATTATGTTATTATTGGTTGTACGGTTACTTTGGAGATGATTATTATCACGCGGTGATCAGTGTCTTATCCTGAGCATATGGCATGCCT